GGACATACAGAAAGATCCAAATGCGGGAACGGAGGCCTAAGAATGTTGATCGAGGCGGAAGGCGGGAACGCATCTTGAAGAGTCTTTGAGGATGGAGGGAAAGATGAAGAATTAGTCATGTGGATGCGGGACAAGGATGTCAAATCCAGTTCCAGAAAGTAAAAAGCTTTCGCCACGAGTGCTTCTGCTCAAGCGGCAGTTAAGGGCCCGTTTACCTGTCGGCTGTGTGAAAGCCAAACCGTGGCAGGCTTTTTACTTTCTGGATCTGGATTTGACATCTCTGATGACCCCATTCCTACTTTTATATGCAAAACAGTACACTGCAAGTCTGTGTTCATTTGCATGAATGAACTTTTACAATAAAAGTCCCTCGATCTGTGCTTTTTGTTGAATTAATCGACAAAATACTGACTGGGAATTTATCCTGGGCATCAAGATCAAAAGCACAAGACACCCTACTTTTTGTGAGTTGCGCTTTTAAAACTCACAGGGCACCTCCTTCACGATGACCAAAACCGACCTCGCGCGTGTATTTTCACAGGAAAGACAAAGTACGTTTTTTTTGTGGTGATGAAAATGTTGACATTTATTCTCAAATCCAGCCAAAAATAATCATGTGCAGACACTAGAAACCACAACAAACAAAAAGGACATATTTTGAGACATACTTCAGTCCATTTAGAGGAGGGGTGGGCAACATACGGCACATGGGTCATACAGCATATATACAGGCTGCAAGGGCATTTTTTTTCTGGGCCAGAAAAGTTAAGATGGTGGCGGGGGGAGAGCAAAGTAGTACCAATTTTCTGCAATACTTGCTTCTGATCGCGGCTCATTTGGTCACTGTGCATAATGTTACAGTGGCTTAACCGCCTCCTGTCTTTTTTTTTTTTTTTTTTTTTAAATCAAGGACAGTCCATTTGATTAGTACACATTGCATTTGTATCTTTTAGAACTGCTTGCTTTCAAACATTTATTTTGGTACAATTTTATGTACATTTTACATGCAGTATCAGTTGGTGAAACCGGTGTCGGCGGTTATCTTTTTTATCTCTCTCTCAAAATTCCCAAGGAGTGTTACATGTTTTTTTCCCCAGTAAGGACCGTGGAGAACTCTGCCAACCTTTAGACGTGAACAAAAAGTCATATTCACAGATGCTGTTATTTTTTTCTTTTCAAGGGAAAGGAACGCCACGCCAAAGTAACAGTGACACCACTTGGTGCACTTACTGAAAATAAAAGTGCAAGAACTAAAACAACAAAAAAGTGCAACTACAACAGAAAAAAGAGAGAATACAAGCTTCACATATGAGAACCATTGCAATAACAGCTGCAATTAAGCCGTGTTGCTTCTTTTTTGACAATTTGAAAAACAAACTAAACGTACTTCTATCATGTACTGACTACACTAGTCATGAAACCATCTAAACAATAGAGAGGCAAGGAAGACAAAAAAAAAAAAAAGTAGAAAAGTGAACCATTTCAACACAAGTGGGTCAGGCATTGTCCCGAGACCACAATTTTGTTACTTCAGTATACTTCATGAACATCTTCCGGATTAATTAAGCAGATCATGATGGTTGGTATAAAGTGCAATTACAGGACGGGCTTCTTCAATCATTTTGAAAGGATCATGGCAAGATTATTCGGAAATCACTTTTTCACGAGTGACAATTTGCACAGGTTTAAATAGATCCCGCTGCATATATTTCGGTATAGCGGAGCTAAGCGAACTTCCTGTGCACAAAAGTAGGATTGAAAAAAAATTGGATTTTCATCATATTCACTTTACCGTATTATTTATAATTAATTGAATTATAATTAACCAAGCACTTGAAAAAAAATGACCATTGAACTGTTTGACAGATGCTTGCAACTCTAAAACACCATGAGGGGACAGCATCACTGTACCAACGCCTCCTTGTTTCCTGTTTTGAAGAATAGTTGTCCTGCATTTTGCTTTTAACTCCTCTGTGTAAAAAAGAAAAAAAAAAAAAAGATCTCACATCCTCGTGACTGGCTAAACAAACGCTTTGGGATGGGGACTTGTCCCTTCAATGCCAGAACCATAAAGAGCACGTTTGGGTTGGTGTGCGCAGGGAACAGAGACGTGTTGGCCAGCCCGGGCTCGTATTTCTTCCTGTCCAATAGCGCCGGCCAGGGGGACGAGTGGCTGAAAAGCCTCAACAAGTCTGGAGTCTGGATTCCCTTCACAGGTAAACAAAATGAGCCTTTTGGGATACTTGGTTTTCACCCTAGAACTTGTACGGAATGTGCTTCACCCATTGCTAAGTAACTTTTATTGGCCTTTTCTATTGGGATTGCATCGTGAGAAAGTAAAAGAGCCTAAGAGTGATCTAAGATACTAAAGAGAAGCCATACTGAGGTGTTAAGCACGGCATCACTGCAGTTTGGCGTTACGTATCTTACCCTGTCTGCCACTGCGACGCAACTTATTTGCGACTCCGGCTTAGGTGTGTTCGGTCAGCGTCTGGAGGAGACGGTGCTGTACGAGCGTCGTTACGGCGTACGCTCGGTTCCCCTGGTGGTGGAGCAGTGTGTGGCCTTCATACGAGAGCGGGGCCTCCAGGAGGTGGGCTTGTTTCGTCAGCCGGGACGGGCGAGCTTGGTGAGGGAGCTGCAGGAGGCCTTTGATGCAGGCGAAAGGCCTTCCTTCGACAGGTCCGCCACCGACTTTTTGGGGTTTGTGGCGCAGTCGGTCATTTCAACTGAGCTTGATGTGTTTGCAGTAATACAGATGTCCACACGGTGGCGTCGCTGCTGAAGCTCTACTTGCGACAGCTGCCGGAGCCTTTGATTCCTTTCAGTCACTACCAGGACTTCCTGCTCAGTGGCCAAAAGCTTTCGAGCGACCGCACGCAGGTGAGGTGCCACTCCAAAAAAAAATGAAAATATGGAAAAGAGTGAGAAATTGGACTTTTGAAAAGTACACTTCAACCCCTCTTTTTGCAATGACAGGGCTTGGGGGAGTTGAGGAATCTTCTTCAGGAGCTACCTGTGGCCAATTTCAACCTTCTTAAGTTTATATGCCAGTAAGACCTACAGAATAACTATCGAATACGAGTTAAAGCGCTGCTCGGTCAAGGTGCCACTGTTGTAAGTCTTCGCTTTGCGCACAGATTTCTCAACGAGGTACAGAGTCACTCAAAAGGGAACAAGATGAGCTGCCAGAATTTAGCCACAGTCTTTGGACCAAACATTCTTCGGGCCAAAGCAGAGGACCCGGAAAGCATCATGGGAGGTAAACGCCAACTCACAAGGCTTCGGCGGTGAGGTCTTAAGTGTCAGAAAGACCTTTGAAGGATTGTGTTCCAGGTGCAGCGCAAGTTCAAGGGCTGATGTTGGAGCTGATCAGAGAGCACCAGTCCCTGTTTCCCAGAGTTCCTGCGCATACTGCCAGAGGGTTTTGCGCTTCGCCCGGTGCTCTCAGACGACCGCATCTGCACCAGCCGCCCTGCCTTCGCCAGATGTCGCTACCGCTTATTGCAGAGCGGTGCAGAGAGCCGGGACACGCTACTAGGTACCTTCTGGATTTCTGACTGTGAAATCACGCTCTCAACCATCTCTAAATCCTGCATGAAGACCCTTTAACCCACAGGGGGCAAAAATATTCACACTAAAATCCAGTGGATTTAGAATAGACCCTCAAGGAACATTGACGGCTCTGTTAACATCGCATCATCATCATCGGCAGCGATTGAAAGAACTAACACATCCATTTTGACAAAGTGAGAAGTCAGTGTAGATACCTGTTTGACTTGTTGCTGCAGCTTTATCCCCTCAGCTGCAGCCACGTCAGAGGTAACCTCAGACAACAAGACTTTCCTTGGCCATCGCTACACCTCGTCGCATCCGGAAAACTGCTTCTACCCGCTACCTTCCTCAAGTCAGCCCCTGCACAACCACGGCCAGGAGAAGACGAGAGATCTACATCAGTGCCTAACCACCGGTGGATCATCCCCCGCAAATGTTTGTAGCTGGATGGAGGTCTGGACCAGTCTGGGAGAGGCAGGCGACAGAGGTGGCAAAAGTACTCACAGTCTGTAATTGAGTAGAAATACGGAGACTTGTGAAAAAAAAAATACTCTGGTATAAGCTGCAGTACGGATTCAACTCGTTTACCTATTAAAAGTAGAGATCTGTTTTCAAGTGCAGGGAGTGAAAGTTAAAAGTCATTCAAGAAAGTAATACTATCTACTTAAATCCAGTAACGAAACATTTGTACTCTCTTACCCCGCAGCAGTGGCAGGCGAGCACCTGTGGAGTTCCAGCGCCACCCAGATCGCAGGGGCAGAAGGCGAGGGTCCCCAAGCGGCCGGCGGAGGCGGCAGTGAGGTGCAGGAAGACAGCACCCCATCGGATTATGACAACCTGAACAGAGCGCCTTCTCGTCAGACCATGGAGGATGTCGCCGGTGAACATTTCGACCCCAACGGTGAGGGCAACTCCGGCGAGGAATCAGAGGAGGCGTGGCAGACCGTAGACGACTCCTCGTCGTGGTCCTCCTGCGAGGTTTTACAGCCGGACCAGGGCAGCGATCCCGAGGGTCGAGTTGGTCCTGACTTGAAACCGATGAGATCCCCCTCGAGTCAAGCTGCAGAAGATGACAAACACCTCGACGGTGACACGGAAAGTGACCTTGACGGAGGACGCCATCTGAACACGCCGACATCCGGCTCGATCCTCAGCCCCCTCAGCACCGGCAGCTCAGAGGTGTTCCTCCCGTCTGGCCCTCCGGAACCTTCAGCATCCGAGCCCGATGATGCTGAGTCGCTCCTGACTGAACTTCGACAGCAGATGGCCCAGCAGAGGAGCGAGTACCAGGCTAGGATACACAGGTACAAAAATACAAAAGGTTTTTGGCCTCCGTGCTGTTTTCGACCAAATGACAATTGATCACGGAAAAGTGGATGCTGCACTCTCACCACAGGTTAGAGCGCTGCAACGACGCCCTTGAGCGGCAGGTGGCCGCACTGCGCGA